CTTTAAAAGTAAAAAAAGGTGCCTAGACTGTGCATATTTGTGGGCAGGGGGTATATGGGAAATCTCTATACCTTCCACTCAATTGTGCTGTGAAACTAAAATGGCTCTAAAAAATAAAGTCTATTAAAAAAAAAAGGTGCCTAGAGTTATCAAAAATGTTTACAACTGCCAAGTGGCAGAAAGGTGTTAAAATTACCCTCCCATTACTTTAAAAAAGCAAATGTTAAAACAAAAGGGAAAAAAGGATCCATTCGTTTATTCAATAAATATTTACTGAACTCCTACTATGAGTTGGGCATTGTTCTCAGTAGAGTTGGTAAATAACTCTTCCACTGCTGCTTCTAAAACGCGCACACCGCAATCAATATCACCATATTCAACATACTGTGGAATGTACATCGCATGCCTGGCATTGTCCTGGAAACTCAGGTTAGAAAATCTCTCTGCTTGGGCGCCTGGGTGGCTTAGTCGTTAAGTGTTTGCCTTCGGCTCAGGTCATGATCCCAGGGTCCTGGAATCGAGCCCCACATCGGGCTCCCTGCTCCGTGGGAAGCCTGCTTCTCCCTCTCCCACTCCCCCTGCTTGTGTTCCCTCTCTTGCTGTGTCTCTGTCAAATAAATAAATAAAATCTTTGAAAAAAAAAAAAAAAAGAAAGAAAATCTCTCTGCTTGCTTTCTTGCTTTTGATATTTTGGGCTACTCCGTTTCTTATTAGCACCAAAGTAAAGCAATGAAGATGTCAGAGAGGACACTGGGAGACCACAAAACTAGGTGCTGTCACTTGGTCATTTGTTAGCGGCAAAGATTAGAATAATTATGAGGAAAGCTAAAATTTCCAGTGGGTTTATTTATTCTTCGCATTAATGAGCATGTGAATAAAAAGCTGAAGTGAAACCTCAGTAACTTGTCACTTCCCTCTACTAAGTAAATAACAAAAAACATTCAAATGTAAGAAATTCTTGCTCGGCCATTTCTCCAATGACCAGTCACAATTTCAACAAGTCAGTGCAATCAATTTATGCTATTAACATTACTTTTTGTAACAAAGGCTTGAATAAATGCATCTTGGTTAATCTTAGAAACATAAATCTCTCTTTTGACTCTGATTTTGCAGACTAGAGTTAAAACCTACTTTATATGCTTTCACCAAAATAAGTAGATATCCTTCAGTGTATGTAACATGAGTTAGATCAGTATCTTGCACACAGTAATTGTTCAATAAAAAAACTAAGAATTGATTAAGAGGGAATAATATGCAGGGCATGGGGGGCGGGAAGCCTGGCTGGCTCAGCCAGTAAAGCATGCAACTCTTGATCTCGGGTTGTGAATTGGAGCCCCACGTGTAATGTGGCATTAACTTAAAATTAAAAATTAAAGGGGCAGCTGGGTGGCTCAGTCGTTGAGCGTCTGCCTTCGGCTCAGGTCATGATCTCGGGGTCCTGGGATTGAGCACCGCGTCCGGCTCCCTGCTCGACGGGAAGCCTGCTTCTCCCTCTCCCACTCCCCCTGCTTGTGTTCCTTCTCTCGCTTTGTCTCTCTCTGTCAAATAAATAAATAAAATCAAAAATTAAAAAAAAACAAAAAAGTAAAAACAAAAGGGACTAGTATTAAGAGTTGTACAGAAACTATTTAATTATATCCTAATCACTTTAAAACAGCCATTTATACTTTGTTATGACCTTCTGATACAAAAATAGAAAGCGTCCATTAAAATACAAACTAATCCAATAAAGTTATTACGAATTATGGTTTTGAGTTCCTTTTTATAGTGGTATTAACTTCCTGACATTTCATGATTTCTCAAAGTTTCCTGGGATATGAAAGTTTACCCCTACAGAGATGTTTAAAAAAAAAAAGGAGAGAGAGAATTTACTTCACCTAAGGAGGATGTGCCTTAAAAGCAGGCCTTGTGTGTAAAGCGCCCATTAGAAACCCGTAGGTTTTAAAAGCCTGTGCAGACTAAAGTCCTAAAATATGTGTAAAACCTGGTGGTATTTGTGAAGGTCTATGAAAGCTGCAACCACCTGTTACAAATAACTCATGCCCATCCAAACCATAGCTCTGCCTCCCTCCACCTAGAAACATAACTCTACCAACTTAGGATTTTGTACCCCATCGTTATCTCCTTACCCGCGTGCATGAGTCCAAGCCACCATTCAAGGAAAAACCTCAATGACTGCTCTGCGTTGGGCTGTCTGGCGCTGCCCAACACGGCACTTCACCCAGTCTCTTACCACTGAAGGACTGAAAGCTTCTTTTTCAGAATCCTTCATTATTCCAATTAAAAAAAAAATCTCAAATACTAATAAAATAAAGCAGCGGAAAAGAGACATTTTGTTGCCCTTATGCTTCCTGGCATTTCACCTTAAAACTCAAATACTGCACTTCTTTTATTAGTGCAAATAATGTGTTTATTCCTTCCCCCTATTAAACCATAAGTCACTTAAGCCCAAAAGCCCATACTCTAGTGAAATGCTTTTTTTCCGTGACTCCTCACTGACATATATTTGCGTATATAAAACTCTAACTGACCTGTTCTTTCTTGGAAACTTACCAAGTGAAAAAAATGTTCAAGTAGTACACACACTCCTCCTTAAAAATCTTTTCCACTTACTTTTATTGTAAAAAATTCCAAGCATATACAGTAGAAAGAATAGCATCATGAGCCCTGTTATGCCGATCACCTAGCTTCAACGATTACCAACTCGTGGCCACTCCTGTTTTGCCAACATCCCCACCCCAATTTATTTTGAACCAAATCAAGACTTCCTATCATATATCATAGATATTCCAGTTCCTATTTATTTTCAACAACATTGTCTTTGCTTTCCCTCCCACCCTTCCACCCCCTAAAAGAAGTGTACAGAATAATGCAGGTGATTGGAGCTACTCTACCATTTTCTTCTCAAAGTTACCTTCTCTTTCCTGATCACCTTTTATGCCATTCACTAACATCACTGAAATGTCCACCTTGTGTTCAGTTCCTTTGACCCCGCCTACTGCGCTTAAAAAATATTGTATTTTTTCCTCCACAATCCCTTTCTCTTGTTTGAACAAGCAAAAAGAAATTGTGCCAGGATTTCTCTTATCTTGACAAAATTTACTTCTGATTTGTTCGCCCACCCCAGATAAGCTAAAAAGAGCCGAAGGAATGGAAGAGGAAAAACACACTGCATTTAAAATGATAGATTTTGCTTAAGGAGGTAGGTACAAATATTTAAAACCATCAGTTATTTTAAAATCTGTGTTTGTAAACATCAGCTGAAATCTTGAGTCCCTTTAGACAGAGAATGTTTATAAAATCAATCACTGTAATTTAAGGGAGCTATTGCCTTCAGGATTTTGGTGTCAAAGACAGTAGCTGTTTCTGAGCCTCAGAAACGGTTATGTAAAAACAATTAAAGCCAAAAAAAAAAAAAGATTAAGGGAGGATGCGCTGTTTCTATCGCTTCTCTAACCTTGTTTTATTTTGACGTGAGATTTCTTGGCCTCAGCTCAGACAGCAACCCACCACCCCACACTTTCTCCTCCACACCCTTTACAAATGGAATTCCGAAAGGAGGCACTTCCCGAGTTCATCATGGCAAATGGCTCATCTTGAGAACATTTCAATGCAATGATTGAGATTTCATCCACTCCTCCCCCCCCCCCCCCGCGACACTGCACTGCCTATCCCTTGCCCAGTGATTTCCCGGGGAATCCAGAAAAGGCAGAGAAACAAGCCCCATGTCACCAGCCACAGCCTCTCCTCCCCAGGGATGGCTTGTGCACTGCCTCGGCATCCCCTGGTCGCCCGGCTCCGGGGAGAGAGCTTCCAGCAAGAGGTTTCAGACACCGCGCTGCCTGTTTACCCATCCGCAGCCCTAGGTTAAGGATCTCAGAGGACTCCCCTCGCCGCCAACCTTCCCCATTTAAAGCTGTTTCCTCTGAGCAGTTAAAGAATTATTTCTCCCGCGAATGCCTCCTTCTGAACGTGGTCACACAAGATCTCCCTCTAACTCGGATTACTTTCCCCTCCAGGCCAAACGCCGCAGTCCCCACCGCAAATCCAGGATCTGAGCTGCTCCTTTAGAACTACAAGTGCGCCCCGCGCCGCCACAGGTCAAAAGTCCTCGCCTCTAGAGGCAAGACACCACTTCTCGCCCCTGTACCCCAAAACCCAAAACCTGAGACCCGGCCCGGCCGAGGCCGCCCCGCCCCCGAGAGGAGCGCCAGATCGGCCCGCACCTCCACGGGGAGAACAGCCCTAGGCACTCGCGGCTGGGGCGCCCGAACAAATAACGCAGCCCGGAAAATCTGAGGGCCTCCACGCCCCCCTCGAAGCTGGTCAGCCGCGCGTCGGTTACTCGCCCCGAGGGATTAAGGCTGCTCTTTCCACACACCACACTGGCCTCGGGGCGCCGGGGAGAGGGAGGCCGGCCCGCGCCCCCTGCCCAGGGCGCCTGGGGGACCCAGTTCCGCGCCCCCTCCTCAGTCCGCAGGGGGACTCAGATCCGCACCTCCTTGCCCAGACCGCCGTGGGGGGGAGCCCAGACCCCTACCCAAGCACCGGCGTGGGGGGACACGGGTCCGTGCCCCATACCCGGGCCGCCTGGGAACCCAGCTCGGCACCCCCTGCTCAGGCTGCCGGGGGGGGACTCAGATCGGCACCCCCTGCTCAGGCCGCCGGGGGGGGACTCAGATCCGCGCCCCCAGCTCAGGCCGCCGAGGGGCCCCAGATCTGCGCCCCCTCCTCAGGCCGCCGGGGGAACCGGATCCGTCCCCCTCCTCCTTCCCACACCAGCTCCCCTCGCCTCGAAAGGGCGAATCTGGCTTGCACCTCTTGCTCCGGCCGAGGCCGACGAGGGGCACCCAGCCCCGCGTCTCCTCCGCAGGCCGCGGGGACCCCTACCAGCGCGCCATTGCCTCCACCGAGGCAGCCCGGCCCGCGCCCCCTGCCCAGGCGCGCCAGGCACCTTCCCCCCCACTTCCCCGGCCCGGCAGGCCCGGCCCCTCACTCACCCAGAGCTCGGTGCCCCAGCTCATGGTGCAGGGGGCGGGAAGGGGCGCGCCGCGCGACAGGCGCGGCTCTCCGGTCCTCCTCCCCGGCGATCCCTTCGCCCCTTGAGATCCCCGCAATCGAGGAAAACCCGGTGCGCGCGCGGCCGCCGCCTCCTCCGGCTCGCCGCTCCTCGCCCTCGGTCTCCTCAGCAGTTCCTCCTCCCCGTCGCTCCTCAGCAAAATGGCCCGAGGAAGCAGCCGCCGCGGTCGCCGCAGCGCCCGCCAGCCCGCCCCACACCCGGAGAGCGAGAGGAGGGGGAGGCGAGGGAGGGGGCGGGGCCGCGCCGGGGGCGGGGCCGGCCTGACAGCTCGCGCACGCGCGCGCCCCGCCCCCGGCCCCGGCCCCGGCCCACCCTCCTCCTGGGCGCCCTCGGGCCCGCCCGCGCCGCCCGGGGGTCCTGAAGGACGCAGAGGGAGGCGGGAGGGCGGCCGCGACCGGGAACCGGGAGAACTCTCCCCACTGACTTCTTTATTATTAGCGACCACACTCTCTGCTCTTAGAACAACCTCTCGCCTTTGAACGAAGCCGGCCCCTGTTATTACCAGTGCTCTACCGACGCCTGAGTTTGCTCCCCCTCTCCAAGCACCAATTTGGACTTAAGGACAATACTTTTCCTTGGCAGCCCTTCGAGCCGACCGGAGTTCGCTCGGGATGCTCTTTCCCTACCGCCTAGCAGCCGCGGAGGCCCGAAGTGCCCTGCAGACTTGCGCGATGGGAGTGGGGCCTGGTTCGGTGAGGATACAGATGGGAACGTCGAGCCAAGAGCGACCAAGCAGCTCTGAGCGGCTGGGGAAGGAATCCAGGGGCATACAACCAGTGATTTTCAGTCTCTGAAACCAGTGGTTCTCAACTTGTTCGGCCATGAAACGCTCAGACGTGAAATCCCGTTGCCACTTAGTGGCAAAAACGCTGGGTCCACAGATAACGTGGATTCCAATCCAGCCTCCCGCATGTACTAGGTGGGTGGCCTCAGTGACTCCACCTCTCTAGAAGCTCAGAGCCCCTGGCCTACCACATGGAGGTGAGAACTATCCATCTTACCCTGTGTTGGTGAGGATCAGGAGATGAGCACCTGTTACTCGGCCCATGGTTGGGAAACTGAGAGCAGACTTTTTTTTTTTTAAGATTTTATTTTTAAGTAATCTCTACACCCAAGGTGGGGCTCGAACTTACAATCCTGAGATCAAGAGTCACAAGCTCTGCCCCAGCCAGGCACCCCAAGAATTGATTTTTTTTTTTAAAGATTTTATTTATTTATTTGACACACAGAGAGAGATAGCAAGAGAGAGAGAGGGAGAGAGCACAAGCAGGGGGAGCGGCAGGCAGAGGGAGAAGCAGGCTTCCTGCATGAGCAGGGAGCCCGATGTGGGGCTCGATCCCAGGACCCCGGGACCATGACCTGAGCTGAAGGCAGAGGTTTAACCAACTGAGCCACCCAGGCGCCCCCCCAAGAATTGATTTGTAAGTAGATACTCCCCTTTTCTTTCTCTGTGTTCCAAAGGTCTACACAAATATTTCCAACAAGATATGTTGAACTTTTGGAGTTCCAACTTTCTTCTGAATCATTGGGTCCTTTCTCCCCAACTTTTCTTTCTCTCTTATTTAATACTACTGGCTTTTCTGAGTAACTGAACTAAAATGGGCCCCATTTTAGAAATATTGCACAATGATGCATCTCTCCAATACCTACCACCCCCCCACCACCAGCCTCCACAAGTTTATCATTCTCCTCCATGAAAGGGTGCAGCTGAAAACCCTTGCAGATAAACCTACAAGTCTGCTTCCTTTGTTGGACACAGTTAACAATAAATTTAAACTGTCAAGACTGTTTTGGTCTGTCTTTTTTCAGTTACAAGTTCCCCCTACTCATTTGTTTTTAGTGTGTGTGTTTAAATATTTTGCTCTCACTGTTACCGGATCTGAGAACTCTTTACTCCGGAGCCTGCTGGATATATAACAATCAGGACGGCCAGCCACTTACTCCCAAAGCAGATTAATAGCCAGAGTGAGTTGGAGGGCTCAGAATTTCAAACAATGCCTCACAATTTAGTCTGCTATTTGGAAATGGTAAGTGAAATGCAGGTTAGCTTACAAGACCTTGCTCAGTAATCAACTCAATTTTCCTTCCTGCCAATGCTTAAATATTTTTTCAGTCAAATACAATGATCTAATCTTGACTGAATTCTTGGAGACTTCTCAAAAACAGAGTGACCACTTGTGAAAATATGCTAATCAGGAGGAAAAACAACCCGTTCTAAAGAAGGGAAAGAAGAGGAAGGGACAGCAGAAGAAAAAAAGACCACATGACAGTGAAACCTTTTAAGGTGAGTAAGCAGGAAATAGTTATAGGAACCCATTAGAAGCCACAATAGCAGAACTATATGGAACCAGGTTAACTAGACCACACTGCAAATATCTTTAACTTCATTAAGTTTGGGTGGTATCTGGAAAGGGTTTGAAAATGTCAGAGTCTTCAAAAAAAAAAAAAAAGAAAAAGGAAAAAGGCACCACTGATCTCAAGGCAGTGGAAACAAACACAGGATAAAGAGAAGCCAGCAGGGGGAAAGAAAAGATAAAATACAACACAGTATTTTCTAGGAAGAACTAAATCTACTTCCGTTTCTCTTATGGTAAGGGAATAATTCTAAGACAAAGAATTCTCACTATTAACAAATTACTGTGACCTACTTAGGAATCAATTATCACAGGGGGTATTCTGAACCCTCTCTACATAAGTGTTTGAATTACATAGAGGGTCAATCGAGGTTAAGCACACCTGATTCGCCTCTCAGGAACATTTGAAGAACACTGATTTACAAAGTTCTGATCTCGGTGGGTGACTATATAAATTGTCACCAAAAAGTCTGATCATGTGGACATTATTAGAGACCCTATACAGGTCGCTATGTAGTTAGAGGCCAAGAATTCTACCAGGGCTTTTTCACAATTCTAATGCTGCTAGCAAGTAATAAACATCTCATTCAGGACCTCTGATGTATAGATATCTCTATCTACCTTATCTTTTTTACAGGAGATAGGTTTGGTAATTGTTAAATCGGTATTTTAGCATCCCACTACTTATTAGATGTGTGTGTGACCTTTGCAAGTTAACTTAAACTGAGCTTCTGTCTCCTTATTGGTCAAACAGGGACCTCGTGGGTTGAAAGAGGAAGCTGGAGGGGTGCACACTGGCTTTGGTGATAGCACAGAAAGCTGGAGAGCTCTGAAAAAATGGATATAATGCTACCTACCTCAAAGATTTGTAGTAGCACTTTGAAGATTAAAGAATATGTGTAAAATGCTTAGCACTTAAGGGCACCAATATTGTTCCTCTTCCTTTCCTCTTGTTTTCTGGAGGATTTTTACTTATTGTACGAAGGAACACAATCCTCGACGCACTTCAGATGTGGCAAAGCGGCTTGCCTGAACTACAACTAACTGATGGGTTGTCTACTGCTGGAGTACTACTATTCATAATGAACCTCTCGGGATTTTTTTCCTCCTTTAAAATAGCTTCCATTAGTTTCTAGTTTAAAATTCTCCATTTGTTTAGCATTCAGACTTCTCACTAAGGACCCAAGAAAGCAGTCAAGTGGAAAAAGTTGGAGTGGGATAAAAGTAGCAAGTCTATGGTGAGTAGAATCTTAAAACTGCAACCAATTTTTGTACCTGATTGTGGAATTCCCCTGAAGGTCTATGAAGATGTGCATGAAATCAGGAAAAACCAGCTGTCCTGTGGCTGAGCAAGTTACACACTGTGCCACCAAGTTGAGGGGAAGTGAACTTGATGTTTTTCTCCAACTCATGGGATTTAAGACATGCCAGGGCCTAGTTTTTCCAAGATGACTCTCTTCAAGAAGACTCGATGGGCTTTCCCCACGCCCCAAGAAATGACATTTCAAGTCAAAGAATGAAAGTGACATTTGACTTCTCAATGTGTGGCCAGTCGCCAATTTCACCTCTGGTTCTTCACATTGTGTTTCTAGAGGTTTTTGGTCTGAACTGTCAACTCTTTCGATAAAAACAAAATGGTAAACATACCTTGTTACAACCAGCAAATATTAACCCACTAATTTCTATAAGGTTTCTGGAAATTCCTAAACTGATACCAAATATTATTAATAGTATTAGGTTCAGGGCACCTGGGTGGCTCAGATGGTTAAGCGTCTGCCTTCGGCTCAGGTCATGATCCCAGAGTCCTGGGATCGAGTCCTGCATCGGGCTCCCTGCTCAGTGGGGAGCCTGCTTCTCCCTCTGCCTCTCTCTCTCTCTCATGAATAAATAAATAAAAATCTTTTAAAAAAAAATAGTACTAGGTTCAAACTATAAATTCAGCTACTAGTGGCAAACTTTAGTGGATCTTGCAAAGTGAGAGGAAATGGAAAAATAAAAGACTTGACTAAGAGAGCGAGGTTAAAAGTCAGGTTTAGGAGATGAGTCTTCTTTCTAGCTCCTCCAGGCTTTTTCAGTCGATACCTTCAAGTTTAATGTCCCTTTGAAAATGGTGCCAGGGAGAAGCAGGCATAACTTGTTCTGTTACTCAACATGTCTGTTTCCAGTTACAGCATCATGATTATGCAAATAAGCTTTTCTTGAAACTCTGAAATTATGTGCCTAAATATAATTGCCAAGATAGTTTTCACTGAATTTGAAAAGTTAACTGTCTAAAAAACACTTCACTTTAAGTCTTTGTAATTAGCGTTCCCTTTCTTAATTCTCTCAATTTCAAATTAATGGTTGGCACAATATAGCGCTCAAATACCTGAAGGAAGCTATTCCTTATAAACTTCTGGACAGATACCGTTGGTATGTGACCCTGTGAAGGTCACATAATTCCCAAGGGAAAAGAAGCAAAGAATAAGAAACCAACTTTAAGCTCTTGTAAAATTGTTTCCCAGAAACTAAAAGACAAAAGCTTTCTATTTTATAAACTATTTAAATGTTTCATGAGTATTGTATCACTTAATGAAATTAAGGCTTTTCCTGATCATTCCATTTTTAGAAGCTTATTAATATATTCAAATTGAAAACCAGAGTCTCAAAAACAGGACCTTGCTTTAAAAAGTAAACAAGAGAAATACTCCAAAGCATTGCAGACTGCCTTTAAAAATGAAACTGCAATTAAAAATCACCTTTCCTTTAAACTAGTTTCACAGTGAAGTGAGAATCAG